AAAAATCAAAAACCAATATTGACCAATTTTTGAAACCATTTATTTAGCTTTTGCTTACCTTAATTTTACTCATCTCAAACTAATTGCATTAATGAAAAGTTGATACCCCAAGATGTATTCAGCACTCGATTTACGAACATTTATCCAAATTTTCAAGTGTTTTTTTTAAGTTTCCAAATTTTTTTATTTTTCAAATTGAAAAGTAGGTAATGTATTATTGTTCAAAACTCAACAACTTGAAACATTTTTTTTGCATATGTTATTCATTGTTTTTTTTTCTTTTGTACTAAACAAAAAATTATATTGTTTTTCATTTTTTCTGAATATTAAATACAATAAATCTAGCAAACATGGGGAAAAAGAAATCGCTTTTTTGCGTAATTATTCTCAAGTCCTGCAAATTATACCAATTTTTTGTTTATGCACCCATTGGTGCTCTAAATGTGTTTCTGAAGTGAAGTTAATTGAAATTAATTAAACGTATTTACGTCAAATTTTCATTTGTCGAAATTGTGTTCACGTGTTTGAGCACACTTTGGTAGGTATATTTTCAGCACACGCTTTACCAAATCTTCAAGTTCATCGATTGTTCAATTAAAATCTACCAACTTGAATTAAAATTTCATGGTGGTGCATTAAAATTTTGTTTTCTTTCAGCCGATCGAGCCGATGAAAAGTTTCACCGTAAAGCGACAGTTCGCATGGGAATAAGAGTCGTGCAGCGAGCTTACGCACCCCCTTCGCCCCATCTCTACAACCCTCGTAATTTGTCACGATCGCAAAACAAAAAGACGTTATTCGGATGTAAAAGTGCTCCCTTAGACGTCAAGTTTCCCAAAGAACAACAGAATAAAGCGAGGTCGATGGAAACTGGCTTGGAACAGCAGCAGCAGCAGCAGCAGCAAGAAGAAACACCGACTCATATCGAATACAAAAACGAAAAAAACGAAACGCAAAGTTAGTAAGGAAATTCATTTAAATGTGCTTTTTAATTTCGGTGATGGTTTTTGTTTAGGTGACAAAGAAACGCATGTTTCTTTTGGTGAAACAATCACAAATGGAATTGAAGATGAAGGAGCCATCGAATCGCCGACGAAACAGGACGATAACGAGGTAAGCATTACACTAATTTGCTAATTGGGATACCAATTAGAGTGGTTGAAAAAATTCGACACGAAATGGTTATATTATCTGTTCTTTTAATTCATTTTTTAAGTAATATTAATTGCCGTCTCGATTCGCCTATAAAAGTTCAAAAACACGAATAAAATTAATCTGTTTTTGTCACGTTTTATGATAAACAAAACAGTAAAAAGTTATTGTTCTGTCTACTTTGTTATCACGCGACTTTGTAGTCTTACATATGAAATATGTTTTTATCTATTTTTTTTTCGTCAGTCTCATTTCGGTTTAGAGCCGAGAAAACGAGCGTTTGACCTTAATAACAAACTTATTGAGTAAAAAAAAATACATTTTTATACATTTTTGGGGGATTGATCAATGACAGACTTACTTGGGTCTGATTGATCATTAAATTAAGCAACGTTTCAGGTCTGTAATAACAGTAAACTAAGAGGAAATGCAGTAAAGTAGAAAATGAGGGCGTAAAATCGCCTTATAAAATTATATAAGGCACAACAAAAAGGTTTTTTACGTTATACTTATTCGGACAAAAACAGTACCTACTTTTTTAATGAGTCAAATGTAGAATTATGTACAGAGTGTTCCAATGAAAACGAGCCACTCCGAATTTAAAAGACAAAGCTATTTTAACAAGCTTTTCAAAACTTTTTACCAAAATTGAATCAGACCATCCATTCGTGAGATACAGAGTGTTCTAATAAAAATGAACTAGAAAGAATTTGCAAAAAAAAACGAAACAGGTTAATTTTGTTTAGAAATAGCCTTGTTTTGTAATAATAATTTTTGTAACTTTTTTGTTAATGTCTTCAAAAATTACTGTTTTTTTTTCTTATAAATTATTTGTTTTTCTTACTTTTTATTTAAAGCTGCGTTGCTGAGAGAAATCATGCAATTTGTTATTTATTTATTTTTTTCTAAATGGAAAGATTAATTTCAACGTAAACCAGATTTTAAATTCTTTTGTCTACTCTTTTAAAAATCAATTTTTTTTTTAAAACAACAAGTTCAAAATAGTATTTCTTCGTTAAAAAGAAAGAATTAACGTTAGACTTTTGTTATTTCTCATAATTAAAAAAAAACGTAATTTTTTTCTCAAATATTCTAATAAAAGTACTGTTTTTTGCTAACAATTTTTTTTCATTTGAAATGTAGAAACACATATTTCTTATTTCAAACAAAAGTTTTTCAATGTAAACCATGTTTTAGCGATTTTTGTCCACTTTTTTGTGGTTGGAAAAAAATAATTAAAAAGTAGCCTTATTTTCTTTGTATTTTTGTACAATTTTTTCAAAAAAATTAACACATATTTGTTTTCAATCAGAAGTTTTTCAATGTAAACTATGTTTTAGCGATTTTTGTCCACTTTTCGTGGTTGAAAAAAAAAAAAGAACAAAAAAGTAACCTTATTTTTCTGTAATTTTTGTGCCAATTTCTTCAATCATTCCAATTGGTTATTTTTTTTTAATCGAAAGTTAAATTTCCACGTAAACTAGGTTTCAGTGATTTTTGTCTATTACAAAATTAACATGTTTAATGTTAAAAAAATTCTATCTGCCAAAAAATTTGACATTTTTAATGTCTTTTTTATGTTTTAGTGTGTTTTAAACTTTCATAACTTTGAAATTTTTATGATAATAAACATTTTCTGGAGAAATTTTTATGTTTTTTTACTTTTTTTGCAAGTCTAGAAATTTTTTAATCCACTATGTACATATGACACTTTCTTAGTCTCCCCAACTGTCTTTTGTAGCACGATGTTTTGAAACGTCTCGATTAACATTTTTACTATTAAATTTAAACATTTCCCTAAGAATTTTTCTTCTTTTGAAAAATCAAAAAGTCAATACATTTAACACTTTCTTTTTACTTCAAGCCAAAGTAATCCGAACTAACCCAAAGTGGCCTAAAGTGTATTTTTATGTCTATTTAATTATTTTTTTCTAATGTTTGATTTTTTTTAATTTTTGAATTTGTCAAAAATTGAAGGACATTTAATTTGTACCTAAATAGTTATAAAAATGGAAGAAAGGGGTTTGAATTAAAAAGAAGTTTGAATTTGGAAACAAAATCAAATATCTATAAATCTTTTAAAAAAAAATTCTCTGGGGCGCGAGTTCTGGCGCATCTTGTATGATATTATTTCACTTTTTGTATGATTTTTTTGAAAACTTTGTAATATTTAATATTTTAGTGTTGTGCTAACTCATTTTTTTCATTTAAAATGTAGAAACACATTTCTTATTTCAAACAGAAGTTTTTCAATGTAAACCATGTTTTAGCGATTTTTGTCCACTTTTTTGTGGTTGGAAAAAAAATAATTAAAAAGTAACCTTATTTTCTTTGTATTTTTGTACCATTTTTTCAAAAAAGTCAACACATATTTTTGTTTTCAATCAGAAGTTTTTCAATGTAAACCATATTTTAGCGATTTTTGTCCAATTTTTGTGGTTGAAAAAAAAAAGAACAAATAAGCAACCTTATTTTTCTGTAATTTCTGTGCCAATTTCTTCAATCATTCCAACTTGTTGTTTTTTTTAATCGAAAGTTAAATTTCCACGTAAACCAGGTTATATCTAATATTTATTACGTTTAATGATGTAATTACACATTTTTAGGTTTTTTATTTCAGAACGAAGAAAAGAGCGGTTTTTCATAGCATCAGCTGTCGAGTTATTTCAGACACGTGTCTATCCCATTCGCACTTTGGTTCATTTTCTTAATTTCATTTACTCTACTTGGAAACGCTTTTGTAGTTTCAAGAAAAAAAAAGGAAATAAAAAACCGTTTCAACATTAAGTTAATTATAATCGTTTTATTTGATTTTTTACAGCAAAACATCCAAGATCAATTTCGTTCTTTGTGTGGTGGCAAACGTCCCAGTTTGGCGGCATATCTTGCTGGCGTCCCGGCGCCTTGTGCTCAAGTCGAAAAACCATTTCTTCTTAGCGAAGGCAAAGTGCATTTGCTTGCATCTCTTGACAAAGCAATTTATTCCCATGGCGAGGAAATACACGTCTCTGTTCAGATCAGAAACAACAGCAACAAAACAATACGACGGATAAAGGTGGTATAATGTTGAAATTTATATGATTTTGTTTAAGAAAAATACTGCAGGTGTTTGTGGTTCAACACGTTGATGTTTGCATGTTTTCAAATGGCAAATTCAAGAACGTCGTTGCAATGATCAACTCAAAGGAGAATTGTCCCATCACATCAAACACCATCTACGAGCATACATTTTCTCTACTTCCAGTGAAAAGCTCGACGAAAAATTGGATTGCTTTGGAGGATTCGTATACGAAACAGGGCACAAGTTTGGCGTCGACAGTCACTTGTTCGGCTAACAACCCCGATGAACGCAATGTCTTTGCTATCTACGTTTCCTACTATGTGAAAATTAAACTGTTAGTGAGTGTGATGGGTGGAGAAGTATCTTTGAAACTACCCTTCACTCTTATGCATACTTGCACCGATTTTGAACACACCGAAATTCTAACTCGAGTTGCTAAACCCGATTTCGAATCGAAACAAGTGATTGAATCGGTTAAAGATGGGACGTGAGACCAGGCTGAAGTCGTTGTCGAGATTAATAAAGAAACAATAAGTGAGGATGTGACAAAGGTGGTATCTAAAATTTATTCTGACGAAACTGTGGTGCAAAAAAAAATGTCCAATACTATACGCAATCAACTCGATTATGATCAAATCGTGCCGGTGAAAAGTGAAAGTGAAGTGGAAGATGTGATGAATAAGACGGAAAGTGCTAAAGAAAAAGGATTCAGTTTGCATAGAGCGTTGTGTTGTTTAAGAACTAGAAGAACGTCTTAGTCGGATTGTATGTTTGTTACTCTATATGGGGCCCTATAATAATCTAGCACTGTGTCTTAATTTCCTAAAAAAATATAAATTTTTTTCTACCTTGTCTTTAAAAACACATTTTTCGATTTTTTTACTACAGGCAGATAGTTGAAAATACAACTAAATTTTTCTGTAAAGTATTTACATATGTACAAATATAAAATAAAAAGCACAACAAAAATTAAATTAAATTAAATTTTTCAACTCGTTTTTCTGTTTTCTAGTAGAAAGAATTCTATTCGTGTATACCTCTTTTACCATGAGATGGCACTACGTACTAATATGAAACTATGGTTGCCTAAATGGTTACAAGTGAACGCCTTGGTTTTAAAGTTTCGGATCAAGAATTAGAAACGGCGGCAATTTTGAAAAAAAGCTTTTGTCTTAATTTATTATTCTCTATTAAAAATAAATTACATGTTTTAAACAAAACGTTATTTTCAGAAAAAGATCACAGATTAAGGAGAGATCTAGATTTAACAACTTGAATTAAATTTCAATGGCGCACACTTTTCGTCGATAATCAGTATTTTTTTTATTTTATTGTAATTTCGATGGTTACTGTGTATAAAGATTTACCAAGTTTGGTTACAATACAAAATTCTCAACATGTTCTAAAATTACGAGTATATAGGGTGCGCCAGAACTCGCGCTCCAGAGAAAATATTCAAGTAAGAAACAGGAACATGGAAAAAATGTTAAAAAAATTCTATCTGCCAAAAAAAATTGACATTTTGTAAAGTGAAGGGGGCGCCACTATACACAAGGTGGCAAATTTTGGCGGGAAGTTGGTGACGCGTGCGGCGCACAGGCCAACGCCCGGCAGTGTAATTGCGACGGCGGCAGTGTCCGCATCACTCTGTCTTGTTAATTACCATTTTCCAATAAATCCAGTTTGTTTGGGAAACGAGCGTATTATTATTTCACAATTTGACATTTTTTATGTCTATTTAATGATCTTGTAAAGTCGCGGTAAATTTATTTAATTTATTGCAAAGTTGGCAGCCTCTAGCTCGCCACCTTTAGTGTGTTTTAAACTTTCATAACTTTGAAATTTTTATGATAATAAACATAAAATTTTTAAATGTTTTTTTGCAAGTCTAGAAATTTTTTAATTCAGACATATGACACTTTCTTAGTCTCCCCAACTGTCTTTTGTAGCACGATGTTTTGAAACATTTCCCTAAGAATTTTTCTTCTTTTGAAAATCAAAAAGTCAATACATTTAACACTTTCTTTTTACTCCAAGCCAAAGTAATCCGAAGTAACCCAAAGTGTATTTTTATGTCTATTTAATAATTTTTTTGTTTAATTTTTTTTTGAATTTCTCAATTTGTCAAAAATTTGTAACTAAATATGTAGTTATAAAAATGGAAGAAAGGGGTTTGAATTAAAAAAAAAAGTTTAAATTGGGAAACAAAACCAAATAGCCATAAATGTTTCAAAAATTTTTTTAGCATTTTTATCATGTTCCTGGTATCTTACTCTATCTTGTGTAATATTATTTCACTTTTTGTATGATTTCTTTTTGAAAACTTTGTTATATGTATTTAATGTTTTATTAGTGTTGTGATTTCGACAATTAAAAGATCTATCGACTTGACTAAAAAAATTAGAGGGTTCCTTTAAAAAAAATTGTTGATGACGTCATTACTGAAAAAGTGTAAAATATTACATCAAGTTGAAAATTGTGTATTTTTCAAAAAGAAAATTGATCTGTGTGAGCATTTTGGCCAAAACAAAATATTTTTAGTTTCAATAAGATTATTCCGTAATTTGCCGCTCACTGTATGTTCATCAGAAATATGTAATTTTTTTATTTTAAACAATGGGGAACATGAAAATAGTGTCAATTAAAAATCTACAATTTTACAGTTCTTATAATTCTTCTGCTTCTATTATTTCCTTGCTGTTACATTTTTGAGTCTCCAATAAACGTTGTCCTCCTGCAAATAAGACACATTATTTTGTGTTTTAGTCTTTTTTTATTTTCCAATGGAATTAAATCGCGCGCACGAATCCTTTAATCTCGCTATCCTGTTGATTTGAAAGATACGCCTGATTGTTTTTGTTTGTTATTGGACGTCGAAGGTGGGATTTTGTTAGTTAGATTTCTGCTACTGCCGATGCTAATTGTTCGCCATGATTCGACAACTTGTGAAAATTTTATTACTTTGCGTTTGTCATATTATGGCATTAAATCAGGACGAATTGGTGGTGAGAATTCTAGGTGGTATTGAAGAGGCGAAAAGATTAGCTGCAGAAACGGAATATGCATTTAAAGGACCTGTGAGTTTTTTTATAAATATATATTTTTATTTTATTATTACAAATGAAAGATGAAATAAGATAGTAGGTAGGAAAAAAAATGTGATAAAACAAAAAAGTGAGTTAATTAATATTGATAAATACGAGAACACCATATGGTAATTAATTTAATGGAAAGCAAACAAAAATATCTGTACTGAATACTTGGAAAGTGGTCGAAACACAAAAAATCATTGTCAAAAAATTAACAATTTTTTTAGTTGATTCTAAATAAAAATAAAAAAATTAATAAAAAAAATTAAAAAAAACAGTTGGCAATAATTCATTTGTTTTTTNTTTGTTTTTTTTTTCACAATAATTGAAGATTTTGTAACTTAAATATACTGTAAATTCCTATTACATACTAAAATTTTGAAAAAAGTTTCAGACTTTTGATAATTTTTTTCAATTATTTTAACCAGTGAACAAATCCAAATATTAATTAATTGACTGAAAGAAGTAAATCTTTTCATCTAAATTGACTTTTGGTAAAAGAAAATTTATAATTAGGTCTTTTGGATATTATTCTTGAAAGAACACTTTCTTGGAATTTACATGTGTATTTACACATTTAATATTTATTAAGCACGTGTGTTTTGTGACATATGACCCAAAAAATATGTATAAAATTTTGATTAAAAATTGTTTTAGGGATTGCTTTTACCAAGAATTCTAAAGGAAATGTTTTTATTTTAAAATCATATTATAACAATAATTATTTAATAAAATTAAATAAATGATTAATTAAAAATAAATAAAAGGGAAATTATTTTATAAATATTATTGTTTTTATACTGTATTTTTTAGTAGATTCAGTTTCCTGGCTGAATTTTACCTACGCGGTAACTGAGCAATTTTTTTTTCTCAATTTTGTCAGAACCTTAAAGTCTAATAGTTAAAAAATTATAAACAAACATTTTCTATAAGATTCAGGTTGGCTATTTTTTGTTAAAACAGTAAGTATAATAAAAAAAGTTGTGTTTTATTTTTTCTTTTTATTGACTTTCTTTCTCTTTGTTTTGTCTCCCTGTTAGTATTCCTATTCGCAGCTGCATTGTTTCTTTCCCCCACTTGACGTCCTGATATCGATTTTCGGCAGACGTCGCGGGCGTCGTGAGCGCCGTCGGAAACGACCGCGCGAATCTAGACGCTCGATATCAGGCAAACAGAAATTTCGGAGAGTATTGAATCAAAAGCGGCACGTGCCACCCCTAAAAATAGATCACGAAACGACGATAATATTACACCCCTCTCTTACTCGAATTATAAATAGAGACTATTATGCGGGGGCCGTATGTTCAACACCTGCTTAACATGGTGTGTGTGTGTGAATACATAAAATAATGACTTACTGTTTGGTTCAATGAGGAATAAAAAACTATCCATTGTCGTTCCTCTTTCTTCAAAAAACAAGCTCTCCCAGAAAAATTTCTATATCAAGTTAGATATTTTGATTAAAAATTTTGAAACTTACAAGGACCAAAGTGGTGAAAACTATAACTATTGTTTCCACAAGAAGACAAGTTGCAAAAACACTGAGAGAATTTTTCTCACTTAATAAATCCATGAATTTTTTAAAATTTTGATGACATATGTACAAATGACACTTTTGTTTTGATTTTAATTAGTAACGATTTGTTTTTGTTGTGATGAGCTTCAAATGCAAAACAAGTTTGGATCAATACATAAAGTGTTAAAAAAAAGGTTGTAAAGTATTTAAGGAGGTAATGGTATGGATTAAAATAAACAAAAAAGTCTTAATAAACATTTTTGTGCGATTAGACATCAAGAAAAAAACTAACAAAAATCAATCGCGCAATGTCATAAGCAACATGAAGGTTAAGATTATTAAAACTTTTTTATTTCTGTCTTGTTTTACAAAATACATATTAAGTATGACACCAAAATTCTAAAAACATTAAAAATTTGTAAGAATATTAAAAAAAAATAAGAAAAATAACATAAGAGCTTTACAACATGAAACGTATAAACAAAAATAAAATAAAATTTGAAATTGTCAAGTAGATCTTCCGAATTTCTTTATCTTTTTCATTATCTTCGTCTTCTTCAGTTTTTTCCTACAATCGTAGTTTTTTATCTGATTTTTTTGTTTTACGTTTTTTTTTGTATCGCTTTTATTTTTTGTTATATCTTTTCTTAATAATTGTTAAATTACCGTTTCAGGTTTTGTTTCAACCTCTGTTTCTTGTTCTCTTAAATCTTTTTTTCTTTGTCATCATCTTTAGTTTCGACATCCTCAGTTTTTTATTTGATTTTTTTCTCAATCTAAAACCGTTACTTTGCGGACCCACGTTTTTGTTTGTTTTGGTTCGTACTATTTATCTCTTAAAATATTTTACAATCTTTTTTTAACACTCTGTAAAAATAAAAATGTTTTGTTTAGGTGCTTGGATTTAAAGATACTTATATTTTTATTCCAATTGACAATGTTTATCGTAATTATTGCAAGAGAGGAATGGAATTACACAAAAGATTATCTCAAGATAATAGGGTACTGTGGGCGGACGTACAAACGAAAAAAGAAAGACAGAAAAGAGATTTGTTTCACTATTTTCTCGACAATTCTGATAAAATTGTACACAAAAAGCCACTTTATCCTAAAGGAAAACCGTTTAATGATGAATTATGGACACAAGAATGGTATTTGGTAAGTAACTAACTAAAGTCACGTTAAATTAAATATGTCAGTAAATTTTGATAAAATAGCAAGACACAAGAAGTAGACCGGATTTACCAAAATTAGATTTAAACGTTCTTCCATTATACAAAAATGGAATTACAGGGAAAGGAATAAGAATCAGTATTCTCGACGATGGTATAGAATACACCCATGATGATTTAAAAGCAAATTATGTAAGTTTTATTAGAACAAAATTACGTTATTTCTCAAAGAAATTTTAGGATCCGGAAATCAGTTATGATTGTAACGAAGAAGACAATGATCCTCTTCCTCGTTACGACCATTCTCAATTTAACAGTCATGGTACTCGTTGTGCTGGTGAAGTTGCAATGACTGCAGATAATGGAAAATGTGGTGTTGGAATAGCTTACAATGCAAAAATTGGAGGAGTGAAACTCTTGGATGGAATAGTCACTGATCGAATTGAAGGTTCAGCTCTCGGCTACGCATATCATTTAGTTGATATTTATAGTGCCTCGTGGGGTCCTAATGACGATGGTAAAACAGTTGACGGTCCTGGAAGACTTGCCGTCGAAGCTTTACGTCGAGGAGTCACCAAAGGACGAAATGGAAAAGGAAATATTTTTGTTTGGGCTTCAGGAAATGGTGGTAATAAAGGGGATAATTGCAATTGCGATGGATATTTGGCTAGTCCTTATACAATTTCAATTGGGAGTGCTTCCCAAAAAGGGGAATTTCCATGGTATGGTGAAGAATGTGCTTCGACTCTAGCTGTCACATATTCTTCTGGAGCGTACAAAGACCAAATGATTGTAAGTTGAAGAAGAAATTTTCTTTGTTCTAATAAGATTAATTTAAGGCAACGACGGATCTTTATAATGAGTGTACGATTAAACACACGGGAACTTCTGCTTCAGCTCCTTTAGCCGCCGGAATTATAGCTTTAGCACTTGAAGTCAAGTGTGATTGATTTTTGTATAAACATATATTTTTTAATTGGGTTTGTTTTAGTCCTGATTTGACTTGGCGTGATGTTCAGCATTTGATCGTGTGGACGTCTGAAGTCGCACCTCTTATACAGAATCCGGGGTGGCAAAAAAATGCTGCCGGCTTTTATTTTAACACAAGGTTTGGTTTTGGTTTAATGAATGCTTTCGGTTTAGTTAAGGCTGCTGTTAATTGGACGAGTGTGCCTGAAAAACGGATTTGTGCAGTTACTCCACCTGTTCGGTCAGTTTTTTATGTAAAAATTAATATTTGTTTATTATTTTTTGTTTAGACTTAATCAAACAATCACATATGGGGAACCTACTGTTATAAAAATATTTACGAAAGGTTGTCGCGGTAGTAAGAATCGTGTTCGATTTTTGGAGCATGTGGAATTACGAACGACTATTGAATATCCGATTCGGGGTGTTTTAGAAATATTTTTAACATCTCCATCAGGAAGTAAAGTTGAAATTTTGGCAAAGAGAAAACTTGATAAATCGTCAAATGGTTTCAAAAATTGGAGCTTTATGTCGGTGATGACGTGGGGAGAAAGGGTTGAAGGATTATGGACTGTTAACATTTCGGATCAAGTAAACAATTGAAAAGTTTTGATTGATAAGAAAAGTTTTGTTTTTCAGGTTGGACCTGAAGGAAATAATGGATTTGTTAAAGAAGCTGTGTTAATTTTTCACGGAACTGAACAAATTCCGAATTATATGAGACAAGGATCCCGAAATTATAATCTTAATTATAATAGAGTTTATAATACTGCAAATAAGATTTTTGGATCTGGGGAATCTTATGACGACATTTATTGGAATCTTGTATAAAATATAATCAGAAAAAAAACAAGTTAATAAAAATATTTGTGTTTTATTTATAGTACAGTTAAAATGATAATATATGTTTGTATAAAAAAATTTAATAAATTGTGCAAACAATTATTATAATAACTATAGAGGAACGGTTTAATCTTATAAGTAAAATGATTGTTTGAAAATGGAAGTAGTTTTTATGAAAATATTAATTATTTAAAAGCTAATAAAGTTATTATCATATTACCTAGTGGTAGAGAAAGTTCTAAAAAAATTTTACTATTCACTTATGTATGTACATTTTCAACTTGATAAATAGTTATTTAGAATTATTCATTTATTATTGACGTCTTTGTACAATTTTGAACAAAATGGTTGTTATATTGGTCCATGATCATCATATTATCATCTGTCAAATTTTAGAAAATATTGGTGGTTGTACTTTAATTGTAAAGTGTTTTTTTTTTTAATTATTATGTGGCACGTGTTTTTAAAAGTAAAATGATTTATATCTAATACATATTATCACAGTTTTTTATCCGATTACCTACATTTTGTCCAAAATTGTAGTAGTTTTAGTTTTATAATTTTTTTTATTATTTTTGGACCATTGCCTAAGGTAAAATCACGAGATATGTTAGTTTCATAAGATAAAGATGTGAAAAATTCTCAACATAAAGTGCAACAAGTTTTCTGATTGCCTTTTCGTCTTGTTTCGTTTTCTTGATCGATTTTTCTTCGGAGTGCGTCTAAAAATAGCAAATGTTTAAAATTAATCAGATGTGATTTTATTAATTATTTTACCAGCCAACGGTCTTTTTCCAACGGCTGACAGACTTTCATAAAGTTCTCTAATCGGATTAACATCAGGTCCTAATCCATGACTCCAAATCAACATCATTCGAAATCCGTGTTCTTTATAACTTGACGGACCTAAAACGAAACCAAAATATATTTTTTAAGCAGAAGATTTTTTTTTTTGCACCATTGTATTGATGTTCGATCGCTTTAATTTGCTCATCGGTGAAAGCCCAATGATGCGCTAACATTTTCCATTCGCTAGGTCCTAGTTGTTTGTAAGCCACTTTATAAAGAATTTCTTTGAGTCTTTCGTTATCACGGCCGCGGATGTCTTCTTTTGTCGATCGCCATTTACTTCGAGCTGATTGCTTAAAACCATTGTCTTTTTTATTTTTTTCACCTTTTAAATCTTCCTAAAAAAAATTAATTACGACTAGATTATTTCTAATGATTTCACTTACAACGTGTGCAGGATAGTCTAATCGAGCCGTTTTAATGATCATATCGACAATGGCCGTGAAACTTCCTCTTGCCGCTATATAAAGAGGAGTCCTTCCTCCTTGTTCTCGCTGTTCGATATCTGCACCTGCCGCTAAAAGCACTTTACAAATTTCCGTATGACCCATTTCTGCAGCAATGTGAATAGGTGATTGCAATCTCTAAAAATTCATTTATTATAAAAATTATAAATTATTTTGTTGTGTCTGCCGACCGCATTTAGACTATTAAGATCCGCTCCTTTGCTTATAAGAATTTCTACGATTTCAATAACATTCGCTTGACAAGCTATATGTAAGGATGTATTTCCTTTCTGAAAACGAGAAAAGAGACAAACGTTAGAAAAAAGTTTAAATTAAATCTACCTTATTTTGTTTATTGATGGAAGCTCCGTACTGCAATAGAATTTCTAAAATTCCTTTACTTCCTAAACTGCTCGCTATGTGCAACGGAGTGGATCCTTTCTAACAAATCAATTGATTAAAAATAACTGAAAATGGTGGTAAAAAAGTTACCAAATTTTCGCAATCGGGATCAGCTCCTGTTTCCAAAAGTATATGCACTGTTTCAGTTTGTTGATTTTGGGAGGCGACATGAAGTGGAGTATTTCCGTTTGTATCTTTGGCTTCCATGTCGGCTTCGTGAGTGAGAAGAAGATCGGCGACGTCACAATGGCCTCTTTCGCAAGCCACATGTAGAGCTGTTTTATTTTCCTAAAATATTATTAATTAATTAGCTTAGCTTAATTTGTAGACCTACTTTGTTTTTTTTATTCAAGTTTGCTCCCAAATCAATAAGACGTTTGATGATTTCGATGTGACCACCCATCGCAGCATGAAATAGGGCAGTTTGACCGTCAATATCTACGGCATCTACTCGTGTATCCTCCAAAGTATCAATTAAAAAATCAACAATTGTAATTCGATTATTTCGAGCTGCACACATTAGCAAAGTATAGTGTTTCTAAAAAAAATTAATCGAAATTAGTGAAAAATTTTTTTTGAACATATTTAACCTTATTGGTGGCATTAGAACAAGCTCCTGTGTTGATAAGTAACTGTACAGCATCACGACTACCATGCCAACATGCCATTAGTAAAGGTCTCATTCCGTACTAGAAAATTGTTAGAAAAGAAAAAAAAATTACAAGTTTTTTTTTACCTTATCGCGAGCTTCAATGTCACAATTGGCCGCTATTAACATTTCCATAATGTCGATGTTACCGCGAGAGGCAGCCCAGTGAATAGGAGCACGTCCATACTATAGCCAAGTATATTTTAAATAATTAATTATAATTTACTTACGTTATTTCTCGAATTTATATCGACAGGTTCTTTTAAGATTCTTCTAACACTTTCTGTATCATTTTTAATGACTGCTTCATGCAATAATAAATCATTTCTTTGAATTAAAGCTCTTCTTTCTAATTCTTCGGGAGTGCTGGTAGGTGATGGACAACCAGCAGGTCTTAAAGCACAACCATGTTCTAATTCAGCGCTCATGCAGGACATCATTTTTTCTTTTTCTTAATTACACTTTAGTATTATCAAATCATTTTTACTTGTTGAAAACTATAAAACAAATAATATTTATTTATCGACATTTAGATGAAATCAAATGATAAATAGTCAGTCCTCTGTGGAAAAGGTTCAAGGACGTACCTAGAAATAAAAGGAAACGACAATAAATATCGAATTTCTTTCTTTGATTTATTTGTTTAGGCCTACATTTCATTTATTTATTATTTTTGTTATTTTAAATGCTTGTTTAGATTTACTTATTTTGCATAAAATCTTTTTGTTTGAAATGTGATGTGATTGCAAAAATATCATTCAAATGCCTATTTATTTATCCTTGGTTATGTTAACGGACAAACAAAACTATTTTTTATACTACTATTAAAATACGTATTAATTTATTTCAAACACCAAAAAGATTTAACTTTGATTAAATTGTTTCAGATTGTATAATTACTTTACTATTACATGTAGTTACATTGTTTGGCATTATATCAATCACTTAAAAGGTGGAACTAACTAGTTATTCATTGTTACTACATGTACAGCTTTTGGTTTAAAAAGCCGATAGATTGAAAGATTTTATAAACTTTGAGAACATTTCAAAAGTCAACTTTTTGCTAATAGGATGCATAGGGGCGGCACCCGTTACCATAACAACCTAAATACGTTACGTAAATCTGCGTCCAGCAGCAGGTAATATCAACCAGAAATTTCTATTGTTGTAGAAATTATTTTTATTTGTATGGTTTTGAGTTGTTGTACTAACCAACTCAGCAGATTGAGATATGTGGCACATTTATGTCGTTTTATTTTTTTTATAGTTCTATATAGTGATTTATTGACTACATTTTACATCAAAATGTAAATCAAAGAGGGAAACGTGTGCTGATGTTTTCGTTTAAAACGATTTGAATAAAATATTTATGACTTGTACTTGTTGTTATAGTTTTTTATTGAGAAAAATATTACAAAAATTGGTTCTTTAGGAGAATGTTTTAATATTATAATATTAATATCGTTTAATATAAGTTATCTAAAAGCTAATGGCGTATTAGTAAGGTCACATACAATGTAATTAACATAATAAAAGTAAATATTTACTAGAATTTGAAATAAAAATCGATTGTTGCGACTAAAAACTAATTTGGCTTTGGTAGGTATTGTAAATTTATTCTTAGATATTGAATTAGTAATTTATAAAAGAAGATAAACTGAAATTATAACAATGATGTACATATACAAGCTAGGTAATAAATATAGGATTAGAAAAAATAATTGTATTTAAATTTATTTACCTGTTGATAAAGTTGCATAAAAACACATGTATGTAGGTACATATCTACGTTGTTGCTTATTCGAACAGTAACTGAAAGGGTCGTCGTCGCGACGGACGTCTACATTTGCCGCGTGTCATAGTCCATGCGCAAGCGTAACTATATTTTATTTCGATTGTTTATCTGACTAACGAATGTCCATTTTATTTAAAATAAATAAATGTAAGGCAGGATTTTCATGTGATTTTTTTTTATTTTTCAATTATTACTTTTATAAAATGCTTAAAGACGATAAGTAATTTGTAAAATACAAGGTGATTCACGAGGAATAATGAGCCTGACCAAAATCTCTATGCAACCATTATTACTTTTCGCAAGTTATTTCGCGACAACTGTAATGTAATGTGTAGACATCCAAATAGTTCTTTTCCAGTTTTTAGGAAAAAGTTGAAATAAGTAAATAGTAAAAGAAAAGGCATTACAATAGTCAATTTAGTTTTAGTTGTAAAAATGCTTGAAATATGGTTTTCTAGTCGTAAAATTACACGCTGAACACGATGCAACAAGTTAAAATACTCTATGATGCATTTTTTTTGAGATATTTTGAGTAATGAGGTTAAAAATAAGGCTAGAAATATCCGATTTTGGCAAAAAAAAATCAAAATTTTTTTAATTCTTATGAAAAACTAGTACTATATGTAAAATTAATC